AAATTTTATTTAAATATTTTAAAATTTAAAAAATATAGATCATAAGTATATTTTTGTTAATTTTCCAGGCAAATTTGTTTGGAAAAAGTCTACAGTTTAAGGAATAAGAAATCTACTAATAAAATAAATATTAATTTATTAAATAGATGATTAAAACTAATAAAATAATCTATAAGCTATATAAAAATATTAAGAAAAATATAAAATATAATATAGAGCTAAAAATAAATATATAATAATATAGAAAAAAAATAAATTCTATTACAATATATATAATTTTACTATAAATATAATCTTTGTAACATTATTGATATGCATAATATTTACACTTTATAATTAGATCTTTTAAAAATGTCTTTATTTCAAATTTGAACTTTCTACAAAATTTTATATCTAATTAATAACTCCAATAAGTTATAATAACAAAATTGTTTTTAGCTTGACTCAAACCATTGATCTTATTTATAAAAAGTTCAAAAACTTATTTGCAAAACTATAAGATCCAAACTTATATAAATTAAAAAAGATTATTTATAATAAAATTTAACAAAAAATTATTTTTGTTAAATCCAAAAAATAATTTCATATACTTAATTTTGAATTATAATTGATTTTTGATAATACAAATATTTGCTGGAATTTTCTTAATCATGTTATATTATACCTAATCTTTGACTTTTATAAAATTGATTACAGTAATTATTGATTATGAATTTTTGAATTTAACCATTTAATTATAAAAATATAAAAATTTTAATTTATACAAACTTAATAAATCAGTTCTCAACCTGACCAGATCAGAATTTATAAAACTCCAAAAAAAATTTCAAGTATACTTACTATCCGGGTGAGTTTTTTAAAAATCTATAAAACATTTTATATATAAAATTTTTTGAAAATAAAATTAAAAACCAGATTGTCAGATCACTTTTAAACAATTATTAAGTGGTAGATTGCAGTTGAAAGGTATCAATTTCATAATAAAAATCGGCGGAGAATTACTATTACTTTCATATTGGAATGCTAACATTATGTAAAAATCATATAGCTATAAAGGAGAAAATGCCAATAGTTCGCGATTTACCAAACCAATTTGAATAACTCTACTACTATTAAAACCAGAATAACTTGTTCAAGGAAGGTTTGCGTGGCATAAAAAAAACTTTCATTGTAAGCTAGTTGTATTTCAACCCTATAGAAAAACCATATTAACTTCCGGCAACTTTTACTTTTAAATTTGCTATTTTTATACCCTCTAACCACGATTTACCTCTTAAAATTTTTTTAATACAGATTCTTTTAATAGGTAATAATAAACCAAAAAATTTTCTATACTTGTTGAACTTGTTTATAAATTTCTTTCCATACCTGCAAATCAACAATATTTTCAAACGCCAGAATATTATCAAAATGCACTAATCCTAAACAAAAAGTATTGAACAAATTGTCTTTTAAAGAAATCAGTAGATATTTATGAATGATATAGAAAATAAGCTTACAATCTTCTGTTTTTTTGTTTTGCAATAGTATAGTTTTCTTTTGCTTACAAAAGTCTACAATTGTGCACACATAACTTCTAAATATGTAAAGTTTGACGCAAATGTGTTCTTTTTTTTGTAAAAAATTAAGTTTATTTTAACAAGTAAATAATTTAATCTTGTGTTTTAATTTTATTTGGCTTATCCGAATTTCTTTGGCGTTAGCAATGGATAGATAGACAGATACGGATAAAATTCGGTTATCTAAACAAATAGATAGCTACCATCTCTAATCCTGCAATAAGGAAGGCATGACATCAAAAATTAAAGGGCATAAACGTTTAAATAAAAATTCATTTATAAGCAATAATGATTTACGTGCCAATTCCATTTTGACAACATCCAAATTTTTCCATGAGTTTTTTAGATTGGCTAGTTTTTGGTTTAATTCGGTGCAACGTCTAAAAAAATAAATAAATAAATAATAAAATAAGAATAAAATCAATAACAATTAAAAATTTCCTATAAACTTAATTAAATCGGTACTTTTGAATCTCCTTTGTAGCAAGCTTTCGTTGTTCTATTTGTTCTTTCATTATCAACTGTAATGTCTCCCTTGCCTTTATATAGTAAATAAATTTAAGGGTTTAAAATCTGATATAGGTTAGATGTCTCAAAACTGTATTAAAATAATTAAAATTCATACTTGATGGGGGCGATATTCGTTAAGTAAAAACTTCATATTTATTAAAAGTAACTTTATTTGTTCACATTTGTCTGGCCCCTAAATGATGTGAATTGTTAAGCATATTAACTAGGATAATAACTTATCTCTATTGGTTGAAATGTTACCCGATCGGGGTCTTTAACAAGTATATCTAGCAACTCAACAAAATTGAAAACTACGGAATTGTTCAATTTTTTGAGTTCTAAGGCTTTATCTAAAATAATAATAATTGTTATTATTATTAGATTATATTTTTGACATATCAATAAGAAAAATTGCAGATGCAAACCAATTTCTCCTTTCGGATACAATTGCTGCAAGCCGGTTTCTTCCAAAGTACGCATTCGATCAACAACCTATAATTTAAAAATTGATATTTAAAGTAATATTTTAAAGTAATATTTTAAAGTAATATTTTAAAGTAATATTTTAAAGTAATATTTTAAAGTAATATATTGTACTATCTATTGTACTAATAGTGATTACAACGAGTAAATGACCTACAGGCCAACTATCATTAAACATCGTGTAAGAACCTTTGGTTATCGGTTTAGGCGGCTCTAGTTCTAATATGTCAAAATCCTGAGGTAAAGTACCACCTGCATTTGTAAAGGCTTCAACGCCATGTTCTTTGATCCGTTTTAATTTGTCAAGGTTCTCATCGGTATATCGTTTGTAAAATTCGGGAGGTAAAGGAAAGGAGGAGGCAACGTTTTGAGAAGACATCGATTTCGGTGTAGATATATCTATAGTTAAATTTGGTGCATCTATGTACTGTATCAATATAAGCCACCCCTAATAATAATAGACCCTCATTTTAAACTGTACCCTGGTTATTATATGATAATTGAACATTATATTTGACGAATCTAAATAATCCAAATATAACTTTGTTCGCGAAAATATCTCAATAATCATCTATCTAAAATCGGCAATTTTATTTTGTAAAACTGTATAATCAGAATTTTAGATAGAGATATCACCGTTCAAAGTTTAGGAAAAGATGTCTCGATGACCACCTATCTAAAATTGAAATTTTTTAATTCTTATTTTAATTATATAACAATATAGAACCGAATTAAGGAATTTCTGTTAGTTTTAGATAGGTAATCGTCAAGATATCTTCGCTTAAAGTTTGGAAAAAGCTTTACCATCTGATAGTTATCAAGTTTTTTCACACTTTGAGCGAAGACATCTCGATAACCACCATCTACTATTGATAAAATTTTTTTTATTTGATTTTATAAACTGTATAATTAAAAAAGAAAAAGTCTCGGCGATTTTGGATAGGTGATTGTTGAGATATCTTCGCTCAAAGTTTAGAAAAAACTTTACTACAACTTCCGTTTTGATTTAAGTTTTTCTAAACCTTGAGTAAAGATATCTATTTGAAATTAGTAAAAAATTTTTATATATTATATAGTAAAAATTTTTATCGATTTTAGATAGGGAGATATCTTAAGATTTGGAAAACTTTGCAGTTTGATAGTTAACCAAAACTTTATCTCGACGACTACCTGTCGAAAATTAATGAATTCTTTTTTACTTGAATTATGCGTTTATATAGAACCGAAATAAAAAACATTTTTTATCGATTTTTAGATAGCTATTTGCCAAGAAATCTAAAAAATTTGCATTCTGATTATTGATTTCGTCCAATCAGAATGTGATTGTTCAAGTAGAATCTCATTTTAGCGACACTTTTTGTCGCCATGGCTAGGGCACTTTGTGTAGTCTAGGTCTCAGGACCAGTTCTTAGAGTTCTGCTTTACCACCATAAATGGCCTTTTGGGATTGATTCACGTAGTTCCGAAGCTGCGGCAGTGACACCCGAACTTTCGGGACCTGGTTGTACGGTTATTTAATCACGTGGTATAATTAATTAAAGTCCTCATTCCGTTGTGTAAAGAATTTTATCTTTAGCGTTAGACTTCCTGGTTTTCACTTTGCGGCATTCTCATCTGATAGTAGGATGTCTGCGGATGTAGATGATGTTTTCGATTTTGTTAAGTATATAAGAGGTGAAAGCGAATCAAAGCAACGTTCAAAGTATTCACACAAAACGGGAAACAACGGCAAAACAGGCGTCAATAATGATCGTGCAAATAATATACAAGGTGTTGATATAAATCGGCCTCGAACTCTTATTAAAAAAAGTTCTCAAGGTTATTTAAGAGCTTGTTCGCCAATACAGGATTACCAAGACCCATCTTCACCAAGAAAGCTACGACCAATTAATAAAGTTCCTGACGCACTTAAATCTCAAAATCGATATACTAGGTCGATATCAGAAGTTGGTACACCGATGTCCTTTTTACCATTCCATCGAAGGAAACCAAGTGATTCTATATGGGATGTTGTAGACGCTGTAACCTTACCAATAGATATATCAACTAGTCCACGAAAACAAAATTTAGTTGCAAAAATGACTAAACCCACCAATTCCAAACCTGACAAAAATAATACATTATCTCACCCTATGGCATTTAGAGATCCCATGTTTTCTATTTCAAAGTCAATGACGGATACTAGTCCTTCAACTAGTTATAATACAAAAGATGATATGATGATTGAAGATATAATTGCAACAACTTCAAATACCTTCGATTTTCCGAGTTCACCGCCTCAATCATATAATATGTGTATGTCTGGAAGCCCTGGTGTTCAAAAAACTTATGGGAAAGGGCGCACTATTGTAAGACAAGATCTTGATTCATTGTTATCGGATACATTCATGCCTTCACGATTTCAATCTGATGAAGATATCGAAGAAGATTTAGTGAGTAACTTCCATTCGCTTTTTTTCAAGTATGTCTTTAAATAGAACTAATTCGGTATATCATTTAGATAATCAAAAAGAACGAAGTAAAAAGCTCCCACGAACTTCGTGAAGTTGGGGGTAATGCTAGATTTGTTGATGAAATGAATTATATTCTGGATGGTCTTCGAGAAAGTCATCAATTGAGTGTGCGCAGAAATAGGTTAGGATGGTTTTTTTTCTGTAATTTCTTTTTAATTATTGCAATGTTTATTCTATGCTTACACGACTATTTTTACAAGTGGCATCGAATTATCACGCAAGTTGTTGAACAGTGAATTTCTGCTAAAAGCTCGTGCTCACAACTATATTCCGAAAATCTATGCTATGTTAAATAAGAGTCAAGATTCGGTTAGTTTACTCTTTTTCATTCACATTCATACATATATATTTTTTATATTCATATAATAACCTTTTCTTATCTACATTTTATAGTTTATAAGGTGTTGTTTTGCATTCATTATATGTTTGTTGATTGAAGACAAACATAGTTCCGAGTTATTAATACGGGAAAGTGGGTTTATGGAATTTATTGTAAATTCTCTGAACAATCCCTTTGATCTTTTTGACGATAATAATGAATCTTTGAAGAGATCTGAAAGGTTACTAGTAAGTCTACTTGGTTAAATTCTATATAAATTTTCGTGATTAATGGTCTTACTTATTTAATAATTTAGATTAAAGAAATGAAAGAAATAATTATACGTTCTGCAATTTTCGAAACAAAATCAAAAGTAAGACGATTTATTATTTCTGTGCTCGTGTGTATTATTCTAGTAGACTAAGTCATAGTTATTTTAAATTCCTCTAATTAATAGATTTCACTTAAGTCAATAGCCCTTCGGACATTATCTTCTTTAACTTCTTTGAGAACACGCTATGAAAATATGATAAAAACTAGATTACGAGTATCAGGAGGGTTGAGTTCCGTAATAAATGTTCTAAAAACTGAACTTGAATTTGTAACTGGTTTACTATCAGGAATTGAGAATGGTAAGGTAAGAATTTTAAACATCGTTTTATTAAGATGTTGCCAGATTTTCATTTGATACAATAGTTAACGTCAATCGATAAATATGAATATATATGTAGGCATTGAACTTATCAGAAGGTGTGTTGGATTTCGAATGTATCGGGCAATGTCTTAAAATAATAGAAAATGCAACCCTCTTCTGTGCTGAAAACCAATTTGACATTGTCGAAAAGGACAAAGAGCTTTTACGGATGCTATTGGAGTTACTTTTATACTGTCAAATAGTGGCTTGTAGTAAAAATATACAACGTGCTTCAATAGGTTTGTGTAAATGATCAAAATTGCATGGTTAATATTCGATACCTTCGGTTTTGTATAAATTGTTACATTTAATCATTATAGCGATGGAATGTCTTCTTGGCAGTCTGCGTGTGCTTATTAACCTCTCTAATGATAATCAGTCGTGCTGTCAATGCATTGGGTGTATTCCTGGAATGTCAATTCTTGTTAGACTTGCCACTGTTGGACAGCTCCCCCATAATGAGTCTGTGACGATTAATATTGGCTCAGATAAGATGAATTTAGATTGTCCTACGAACTCAACGGCTATCGAAGCAGTCAAATTTGATGTGTTATTGCTTAGTATTGGTTTGCTTATAAACTTGGTTGAAATGGATCCTGGAAACCAAGATGAGTTTCGAAAAGTTGGTGAGATATTACCGCTACACCAAATATAATTTAAGCATAAATGTATCAATACAATGTATTTACTTTATTTTAATTATGATGACTTCAAGAGCAAAATCCATATTGTACAGGTTCTCATACTTGTCTTCGAACTTGTACATGTTCTTCACGTGAATCCGCTGTATCATGTTTCGTATCTTTGTATAATTACCAACTTGAGAAAGAAGATGATGAGGTAATGACTATAATGGATGTTTCCATTCGTTATGTTTCGAGAGTTTGATATGACATATTAATTTTAATCTTTTTAGACTGATAGTAATATTATCGCAGCATATCTAGCTGTTTTACTTGGCTTATTGATAAAGAATAATCATGCCAATCAATTGTTGATAATTGATATCCTTTTCTTATTTTAGTTTTTGTTACTTTGAATGTAATAACTATGGTGTAATTTCCTTAATTTTTCCTTTATGTACAGCGATTGCCGGATCGATCGGTCAATTCTCTTATAAATCTTCTTCAACAGTTCGTCCATTTTAACGAACTAGTTGGTGAAGAGGCATCAGCAAGTGGTCACACAAGTGGACAAATGCTAATGAGTTCATCATCGTTAGATCAAGTTCAACCAGATAATACAGCACCTCACCCTCAAGGAAAAACTATAGTTGATTCATTTTTGGATATTGTAGACATGTTAAAATCTTTAAAAACTTAGTGAGCTATAATTACGGTAATGTTTGTACAAAGATTATAGACTAATTTTCTTTCAATACTTCTGGCTATATAATACTTTACCAATTAGTAAGCTTATAGATCTATTTTTCTTTTGTATTTTTAAAGGTAGAATCTAGTAAGCAAAAAAAAAAAAAAAAAAACGCAGTTAATCTTGAATTGGTCATTTATTAGTAAGATTTATTTATACCTGCGTTAGCAGATAAATTTTGGTTCTATTTTAATAATTGGAATAAAATTAATCAATTATTTACATTTTAGTATTAAGATATAATGCTGGTTTAAATATATAAAAGGTAATAATATTATAAGCTATATTTTAATTTTTAAAATAAAATAGCATTAGATTTTATTATTAAATATAAATATTATTTTTTTGATGTTTTTTAAGTTTTAAATTATATATATTATATGTATATTAGTTTAAAAATATATTGTTATATATATATTAATACATTAAATATATTTATAAAAATATTATATTATTATATATAGTTATATCTAATTATTATT